AATGCAAGAGGGAAGACCTGGAAATTGCCATCTTGACCACTTGCAGTTAAGAGTGTACCTTTGTACTTGCCCGATAGGTGAGTGCCATCAATAATAAGAACAGGGCGTATGCGGCGGAATCCTTGAATAGAAGCACCAAATGCGAGGAAAGCATACAAAAAACGAGTATCACCATAATCGTCTACCTCAGTCTCAATTTCAGTGATGGTCCCAGGATTAGTTGCTTTAAGCCTCTCAAAATAAGAAGCTACACTGAGGAAGGAGTCCTCCGCATTACCATGTGTAATGTCCAGGGCAATTCCCTTGGCTCGGTGGCATTTCATATAGGAAGCATCAATGCGCAAATCTTCAAGAACCATTTGCTGGAGCTGCATTGCTTTGGGTGCGTCAGTGGGGTCTCCATATTTGGAGCGGAATATATGGGCTAAGACCTTCGATGTAGCACGCTTCTTGTAATGTCTACGAGTCTCAGTTTCGCAAGTGTGGTCCAATTGACACTTCTTAATAGTGTAATAGCCGCAACTGGTGAGCTCTTTTGCGAAGATTCTCCAATCACAGCGAGGGTCATGGCAACTGAGGACAAATGAATGCCTGCTGGTTCTGGTTTGCCTGAAATAAAATTGTTCTTTGATGGCGTATATTGCGAGACCGATTTGGCAGTCTTCCTTTGAGGCATACAGTTTCCCAACACAAGGTTCGTCATCGTCTATATCCAAATCTGGGATGGTCTCAGCTTCATACAAAGTGTCGTCAAACAGGGGGGGGATGTCGAATTCCTCATCACTAATCTCTGATAGGGGACGGGTCTCACGGGCAGGTGGGGTTGGTGGATTGGGCAAGTCAGGCTGAGGGCAGGATGGGCGAGCTGTACTGGTGGAGCCAGAAGATCGACGGTCAGGCGTACATGTACGAGTCTGTACGGGTGGAGAAGGTACATCATTTGACGATGAACGGACTTCCGGTTTAGAGTATGGTGGTAGTTCGCCTGAGACAATGACTGTGTTATCAAAAGCATTACCAGTGGTGCAGGGGGCGATATGGGGTGCAGTCTTTGGTACTGAGACCCCCACCATGAGCTCGGCAGCATCAGACCCACCAAGGTGATCGTCAATGAGGGGAGCCCAGAAGTCTTCGTCATAACCACGGGGTTGAACATCGTCAAAACCGGGAGGAATCGAAGTGTCGGACTGACTTTCATCGTCGTCGTCCGTTATCCAGCTGTCTGGTATGTTATCGGGGTTGTCTGTAAACATTTTCTGGAGGAGCTCATCTCCGCATAACAGGGTTTCGTCTGCAGTGACAAAGCGATGGGCTTGTGATGGAGCCCCGCTCCCTGGCGCCGTTGTTGTTTGTTGTGTATTATTGTTGTGAAAAAGAGAAATAGGTGGGATCTGAGACACGGATGGTGAACAGCGTAGAGGTTGACCGCTAACTGTGTTAGACTGCCGACTAACATGGTGGAGAGGAGGATAACTCCCAGGGTGGACAGGCTGTACAGGAGCTTTTCCACGGCGGTGTACAGGTGGACAACTCTGGGAGTGTACAGGTGGACGGGGCAGGGTGNGTTGTGAAAAAGAGAAATAGGTGGGATCTGAGACACGGATGGTGAACAGCGTAGAGGTTGACCGCTAACTGTGTTAGACTGCCGACTAACATGGTGGAGAGGAGGATAACTCCCAGGGTGGACAGGCTGTACAGGAGCTTTTCCACGGCGGTGTACAGGTGGACAACTCTGGGAGTGTACAGGTGGACGGGGCAGGGTGCGCACATGTTGATGACTATTAGTATGTACGGATGTAGACCTTGGAGGCTGTACAGGCGGACAATTAGGAGAGAGGTCGAGTTCATCATCTTTGAAAAGGGAGAAACCTGGTATCTGAGAACCAGCGGTGGATGGACTGTGTGTCCTCTTGATAGGTTGATTTGGCGTGTTGAAAGGCAATGGATTCTCATCAACACGGCTCATGTGAGGGGTGTTGAAGGTGACAAACAAGTTCATTCCTTTGTTTGTTTGAAAGTGCTTGTAAAAGTAGGAGACAGCACCGTCATTTGTGAGCATTACTGGCGGTGTGGTGAGACCTGTTGCAAGCTCCTTTGAATTTGGTGGCCAGTAGCTAAGAGCAGCGGTGCGGATGATGTCAGAACTGTCAAAGAACTCTCTAAAAACAGTGCTCAGTAATTCAGACAATGGTATGCCTTCACGCAGAGGCACAATCCTTGTCATGTGTTGTTTGTCTATGGAGAAGTTCCAGTGGTCGTCTGCTGAAGTTTTCCACTCGCCGGCAATTACCATAACATGGTCCGACATGTCCGCCGGCTGCTTAACAAAATTAAAAAAAAAAAGTCAAAGATCAATAGACAGGTAATTAGGAGGTAAGTAATAAAGATTAATAAATTAACAGACCTTCTAAGTAAAAAGAGTAGCAGGAATACCTGTTTGAAGATGGTTCAAGTCGACGATGGAAGCTGTTTTTTTACAGAAAGACGACGGTGAAAGGTGTAAAATTTGGAACGGCGTGAATGATTTCGGTGAGGTAAAATAAAAGTTCAAATCCTGGCCGTCGATTGAGAAGTGAAGGGTGAAGGATCAAACGGTGGGGAGCTTCGGAAGATATGTGTCTTGTCCAGATCTGAGGAAGTGAATCTGGGCCGTCGGTTGTTTGTGAAGATGGATGGTTCAGAATAAAGCCCGCCTGTTTTTTACTTTTGTTAACGAGATTGAGGGATGGATTTGAACTAAGAAAACTCATTTCTTCCCAAATCAAACGAGTGTTTAGGAAAAAGTGTACTTGTATAAAGAAGTGACTAGTTGTGCTATTACAAAGTACAAAAGTGACTCTGAACGTAAAATTCTCAAAAACAAGACTAGTAACTTATTAAACTTTTCCCATGACATTTTGCTTCTACCAACGTCACTGAGTAACATACACGTATAATGTTTCCTTCAATTAGTATCTACCACTCAAATTAGTAATAAAAAACCACTAAAAATGGTTTGGTCTGTGGTCAAAACCTCTAAAAAGGGTGACTCATGACAGAACTATCTAATTTTCTATATAAAAAAAACTGAATTTAAATATTTTTATATTTACATAAAATAGCTTGGGTCGTCGACAAATAATTAAAATATAAATATTTGGGTTGTAGACAGATACAGCTAATAGCTTTTCCATGAAATGGGCTTGGGCTTCACTAAAACATATCTCTTCCTTTCTCCCTGTCTCTTGATCACAGTGTCTCGCTGCTAGTTTTGGACTGTGTCGTTCCCGAGAAGCAGTTCCCGACAAGAGGATCTCTGGTAAGGCCCCTCTCTACTCAATTCTTGATCGCCACTTTCTAAAATGTCGAAATTGCATCTTCGGTGGATTTATTATCGTTACCATTTGAAATCACTGCAAAAATATGATTCCAAAGAGCTCAAAATCTCAATGCTTATGATTCATTTGAGTTCTGATCTATTATGCATACGCATCACATGTATATAGTTTTTTCTTTAAAACACACATGCAAATACACATCACTACCATGTACTATTGTGATCGTATATGTGTATTGACTTCTTGTTCATTTTGTTAATTAACAACATGATTAAGAGTTATGTTGCAGTGACTTACCTAAAGATGGAGGAAGGTACTTCTTCTGGTTCACGTCGAACACGTTCTCAGGTTGCTCCGGACTGGACACTCAAAGACTGTCTGATCCTCGTCAACGAGATAGCTGCAGTTGAATCAGATTGTTCCAATGCTTTATCCAGCTTCCAGAAATGGACAATTATTTCTCAGAACTGTAACGCTTTGGATGTAAACCGAACTCTAAACCAGTTCAGGAGGAAATGGGATTCTATGGTCTCTGATTACAGCCAGATTAAGCAGTGGGAGTCCAAAGAAAGAGGCAGTGGCCATTCGTATTGGTCCCTGAGTGTTGATAAGAGGAAGAAACTGAATCTCCCTGGGGATGTAGATAACGAGATTTTCGAAGCCATCAATGCTGTTATGATGATCCAAGAGAACAGAACTGGGAGTGAACCTGATAGTGATAGTGACCCGGAAGAGCAAGAAGATTTTGACGTTATTGATGTCACTGCTGAGTTAGGTACACACACTAATAACTCTTCTCTTCTTTGGTCTCTTAAGCAAAGAACAACACTTTGGGTTTCTTAGGGATCTTAAGAACAAACTGAGCATAGACAAAGACTTATACAGTACTTTGAGATACAAAAGAATGAATATTGGTTGGTATAGTTTATTAGGTATAACACTGTGTTCTGTTGTGATTCCCACGAAACCATAAGATGTATAGAGTGCATTACTGTGTTTATTGCTAACCCCTAGAATCATTTGGTTGTGAAATGAGCTTTTGCAGGATCAAAAAGGTCAAGACAGCGAACTGTAGTCGTCATGAAGGAGAATCCACCACAGAAGAGAAAGACAGAAGAGGAGTCACGGAGGAACCCAGTTCTGGAGAAACGTGCAAAAGCAATCCATCAGAAGAAGACTATGGAAGAGAAGAAGCCGGTGGTAGAAATCTCCACGGATGAAGAAGAGGAGGAAAACACGATGAGCATTGAAGAGGAGGTCAAAGCGTTGGAAGCGAAGCTAGATGAGAAAACGGACATGATACATGCAATTGTCGGGAGAAATATAGCAGAGGGAAGTGGAAAAGAGGATGATGTTGGGATTGAAGACAAGTTAAAGTTTGTGAAACAGCAAGGAGATGAGCTAATCGCTTGTTTCAGTGAAATTGCTAATGCTCTTAACAGGCTCCGTGAAGTCCAAGCTGAATAACTTTTAGCTGTAGATTTTATTATGTCAAGGCTTTTGCTTCGTTGGAGTTAGCTGATTGTGTAGTGTTTCAAAAGACTTATGTTGCAGAAAAGCTGTCTTTGTCATATACACTTATTAGAAAGTACAAAATAAAACGACTTCACTGGGGATCGAACCCAGAATCTCTGGTTTCGTAGACCAGCGCCTTATCCATTGGGCCATGAAGTCAATTTGCTTAACTAATGTTAAATATGATAAATAGTGTCAGCAGAGTGTATTTTGAAGCCATGCATAAAATACAATGTCCTTGAATTATGTATGTGTGTATCTTAAGAAAATGCAAGTACACTAGTTGGTGATATATATTGTATGATCTTTCGAGTTATCATCACTATTGGTGATAGACATTGTATTAGATTTTGAAGTAGCATCACTATAATTAAAAACAGAACTTGTGATATTACCTCAAAAATGTATATCATTAAGAACTCTGTTAACTACTACAGTTAATCGTCGCAGCAAATGTTTAAAAGGTTTTTTTCAAAAAAAAAAAGTTTAAAAGGTTCTATTGTTTGTTATGGATTTAAACTTTTGCAGAAATTAAAATGTGGACAACTCATATGTCTTGATAACATTGATGGAGATCAATAACTTTTTTATGTCCACTTTCTGATGCACAGTTGAGATAAGCAAGAATATTTTAATTTATGGTTTTCACAAGCTTGTTTGCTTAAGCTACTGGGTAATGATGCAGATGGTATATGTATATATATATATATATATATATATATATATATATATATTTAAATATGGCTTTATGCAGATGGTATAATCTTTTGAAGATATCTTTAGTTTACATTTTTTCTTGTTTGATTTTTTCTCTATCCACTTTCCTTGGAATTTACAAGCTTTAAATCAACAACAATCTAGTCTGTATTGAAATTTGTCTGTGTAGTTTCCTCGTATGTTATACATGGTCTGTGTTTCAGCTTCTTTCAGTTGTATAAGTGTTGTTCTGGTGATGTTTTGAATCTGGTCTTGATATTTCTGTAATGTTTGATCATAATCACATGAAAAGTACTCTGGTTTAATCACAAGAAAGTCTTCCACGAGATTCACGAGTAACTGAATTTGCATGCTAAATGTATAGTGCCGTAGAATGTATTTCTCATATAGAAAAATGCTCAGAATAACACAAAGAATATTCAAATAGTTGAAGCAATCATAATATATAAACCACGGAAAACTGAATATTGTAAAAAAAATTACAATAATTATACCAAAGTTTAAGAAAATGATACAATTGCAGAGTCATGATATATCTTTCTTTAACTAAAAAAACATCTCATAGTACGACGGTTCAATAGTGTAATGAATCTTATGATACAATGCAAAAAAACAAAATTTCTGATTTGTGTTACTCTATCATAAACTTGATGAAATTTGTTTTGTATATATTTTTAGATTGAAAAGAAATATCAATAGGAAAAAAAATATAAAGGATTGATTCATTTTCTTTGTATGTGTTATCTACACAAGGGTTCTCGTCTTTTTAACATAGAAAAGATTAATACACGTTATGTAATAAATGGAGTACCAATCAATATTGTAATAATCGAATTGAATTCCAAGACTCACGTACGTTAACTTTACAAAGTAACATATGGTCGTCATGAAGGAGAATCCACCACACAAGAGAAAGACAGAAGAGGAGCCACAGAGGAACCCAGTTCTAGAGAAACGTGCAAAAACAATCCATCAGAAGAAGATCATGGAATAGAAGAAGTCGGTGTAGAAATCTCCACGGATGAAGAGGAGGAAATCTAGCCAAGGGAAGTGAAACAGGGGATGACGTTGGCATTGACGACAAGTTAAAGTTTGTGAAACAGCAAGGAAACGAGCTAATCGCTTGCCTGAGTGAAATTGCTAATATACTCTTAACAGGCTCCGTGAAGTCCAAGTTTGAATAAGTTTTAGCTGTAAATTTAATTATGCTAAGGCTTTTGCTTCGTTGGAGTTACCCGAATGTGAAATGTTTCAAAAGACTTGCTCTATTATATGTAGCAGAAAAGCAGTTTATGTATATATATAAATTATGGGGTTAGTTTAAAAAGAATTCGACTTCACTGGGGATCAAACCCAGAATCTCTGGTTTCGTAGACCAGCGCCTTATCCATTGGGCCATGAAGTCACTTTGATTGAATAGTAAAACGAAGCATAATATTGTGATTATGATCTTCATCCTATGGAAGAAGAACAAAACGCATGTTTTTTATCTGAAATATCAAAAAGCATGGTTGGTTTAACAAAATAGAAATTCGTCTTAAAGATTTTGTAAATTATATTAAACATCAAGATCTGTTATGTTCTAAAATTAAGACTCAAAGTCAGTGGACCTATATCCTGGTGAAGATTGGTAATATATATATATATATATATATATACGTTGTGCAGTAGAGATTACATGGCCTTCACAGCTTCTACCTCTTCCTCGTCTAACGTTGGCTTTGATCCTCAAAACTGTTTCACAGTTTTGTCAGAAAATGAGTTTCATTGATTTGTCTAAAGTAACCTCACATGGTTCAGTGTTTTGGCAAGTACAAAGTTATCCACGACGAAAAGGACAATAATCCTCAAGGAGGGTAAATGTTACAGAAGACAAACATGACCAAGAAAAAGACCTTCTAAGCGCGTGTGAAACAGTTTTGCGCAAGGAGAGAGTGTGGCTTCGAGAGCTGTCCTAATAAATAAAAGAAACGAATTTGCCAGCAAAGGACGGTCCCAAAATTAAATAAAATCAATAAAAGGGAAAATCGGAGTGTGGAAAAGTAAATGGGAAGACGACTGAGACTCATCTCCTCCTCCTCCTCCCTCACCGTCTTCTTTAGGTTTCTGTGTTGATCGGAACTAAACCTTTTGAATTGAAATTTGATTACTTTTTCTGGGATTTGATCAACCCTTTTTTTCTCTGTATCGATTTTTTTACTTATCCTAGTAGTTTTAAGTCAAGAGATTCGTGTTTCTTCTTTCAGCTCAAGTCCACTAGTTTCTGGGCATATGAATCTCTAAGGTAAACCATGTTCTTTTCCTCTAGCTTATCCCTTTTATGGAATCATCGGATCTGTGTCTACTTTTTGAGGAAAAAAAGGGAACTTCTTTGTGGATTTCAACTGTAAAGTTACAAACTTTACCTACTTTGAGTACTTTTTTTCCCTTTAGAACTACGAAGCTGAGAATCAAGGATCTGGGTTCAGCTTCTTTCACAGAAAAGTTTCTTTCTTTTATGTATATAGATGGTCTAGAGGATCCTTAGCTTTGATACAGACTTTAGCTTCTTGCTTTGCTCGTAGAGGCAACATTTCTTATTTTCTGTAATGAAAGAAAAGACCTTTTGATGACATTGATTGTATTTTTCTTTTGTTACCGAGACAGAACTCTAAATTGTGTTTGTTTTCTTTTTGCTTTAGGTGCATGTTGAAAGATTATCCTTACATGTGACTTGCAGTTCGGTAAAACAATAACACGAGATTAGAAAGGATGCTTGAGGGACCAAAGTTCGATATGCTCGCTGTTGGCAATCACAACAACTACGATGCCTTCACACAAGACTTTTATCAAAAGCTCGGTGAAGAAGAAGGTACAAACATGTCCATGGACAGTCTCCAGACAAGTAACGCAGGAGGGTCCGTATCCATGTCTGTGGATAACAGTAGCGTTGGTTCTAGTGATGCTCTTATTGGCCATCCTGGTTTAAAGCCTATGCGTCATCCCTACTCACTCTCCGTTGGACAAAGCGTGTTTCGCCCAGGGAGAGTCACACATGCGCTTAACGATGATGCCTTGGCACAAGCGTTGATGGATAGTAACTATCCAACAGGGGGATTGGCTAACTATGAAGAGTGGACTATAGATTTGAGGAAACTTCACATGGGTCCCGCTTTTGCGCAAGGTGCATTTGGTAAGTTATACAGAGGCACTTACAATGGAGAGGATGTGGCTATTAAGATACTCGAGAGGCCAGAGAATAGCCCTGAAAAGGCACAAGCTCTGGAACAGCAGTTTCAGCAGGAGGTGTCTATGCTTGCGTTTTTGAAACACCCCAACATCGTTAGGTTTATCGGCGCATGTATTAAACCGATGGTGTGGTGCATTGTGACTGAATATGCAAAAGGAGGCTCTGTGAGACAATTTTTGACGAAGAGACAGAACAGGGCTGTGCCTTTGAAGCTGGCTGTTAAGCAGGCGTTGGATGTTGCTAGAGGTATGGCTTACGTCCATGAGAGGAACTTTATACACAGGGATTTGAAGTCAGATAACTTGCTCATATCAGCTGATCGGTCCATCAAGATTGCTGATTTTGGCGTTGCGAGAATTGAAGTTCAGACTGAAGGGATGACACCAGAGACTGGGACTTATAGATGGATGGCTCCGTAAGTTTAGAATAGTTGCTTGTCTTTTTGTCTTGTCCTTTATAACCTTAAACTAAACTCCTTTTGATGCAGAGAGATGATTCAGCATAGACCCTACACTCAAAAAGTGGACGTGTATAGTTTTGGAATAGTGCTGTGGGAGTTGATAACGGGTCTGTTACCGTTCCAGAACATGACAGCAGTTCAAGCTGCATTTGCTGTGGTTAACAGAGGAGTGCGTCCAACGGTCCCAGCGGATTGTCTCCCTGTGCTTGGGGACATCATGACACGTTGCTGGGATGGGAACCCTGAAGTTCGTCCTTGTTTTGCAGAGATTGTCAATCTTCTTGAGGCTGCTGAAACCGAGGTGATGACGACTGTGAGAAAAGCCCGTTTCAGATGTTGCATGACGCAACCAATGACAATAGACTAATCTCTTGTGTCAATAAGAAGAGAATAAAATAAAGAAGCAAACAGAGAGGAAGCAAAAAAAGAGCTTTAGATATATGTAAGTTTTTGTCTGTATCAATATGTAATATCCGATTTGTACCTCTTTTCCCATGATAGGAGAAGTAACCCAACCTTTTAAGACTACTGAATGTTTTAGATTTTTGTATGAAGAAAAATATGTACTGTGGCTGTCTGAAATGTTTGGTTTAGTTTTATGAATCCATCTTAATGTGTAATGTCACATGAGAATCTATAGAGCTCACAAGAAAATAAGATAATGAATCCATCTTAATAATCTATGATGTTAACGTTACTTATCAAAACTTTGGATGGTGAAGCCATCTAATCTATAGAGTTCAAAAGAACACAAGATAAAAAAAAAAACACTAATGAATGCTAATCTTCTTCGCCACTGCTCATGGAATCACCGTCATCATCAATGTCTACATTATCACCATCACCATCATCAATGTCTTCATCATCACCGTCACTTATAATCTCCATTATCCCACCACCGGGAAAGAACATACCTCCATCATCATCAAAATCACTGGCACTATTATCTTCATTGTCATCACTGCTCATGTCATCATCTCCACTGTCGCTATCGTCTCCAGCTAGTCCAAGAATCCGGTCCAGGTCATCTTCATCGTCTTCATCATCTTCATCTTCATCCTCTGTCTCACCATCATCATCAGGATCCGAGTCATCATCTGTTGGTCTCCGTCTGCCAATCTCATACATCCTAGCTGAGGCAAGCATATCGTCTTGATCTTCCATTGTGATCAGTCCAAGGAAAGAATCTGTTGGTTCTGTGGCGAAGTCCAGAAGACATCGGTCCACCGGTATAGTGGCAATGTCTGAATAGTTTACAGCATCAAGAGTGCGGAAAGCAGCAAACAACGGATGTTTCACACGGCGTGTGTTAACAGCAGACATCACGTCCTCGATGTTTCTCCTCAGCATTGCGTATATAACATCTCCCCTGGAGTTGAACGTAATAGCTGTCTGGTCCAGTGAAGGTACACTCCGAATAAGCCTCGTCTTCATATTCCTCAAGTCCCACACCTCCGAGTTTATGATCACCTGTTATAAACAAATTGAGATAAGCAAAGACACAGAATCTGACTTAAAATATAGTTCAGCTGCTTGCACATATACTCTTGTTTAAAATTAAGCATCATTGTATCATAAAATTTTTGTTACAAAATAAGTGTCAGCTTTATGCTTTCAATACAACTTTTTTCTATTAAATTATCTCTTCTGCCCCTGATTAAATTAAGATAAACAATTAATGCTATGCAATCAAGGGTAAATGTAAACATTTAACTAGTTTCTTAAGTTGTGTGCAAAACTCTAAAGTGACAACTAAATTGAAATGGAGGGTGTAAATGATTAGCAGTAATATGATTGATTCTAACCACATATATATGATTAGCAGATTGTTTAGGGTTTGGTTAGGCATTTTGGTTGAGAGAACTGGAATAAGGAGTGACAGTTTGAAACGTTGGTATTCTCACATGTATCAGATTTCATATTAAAGAGTAATATGATTGACTCATTACCTCGTTTCGAGAAGGATGAAAACCACCGCCCCCATAATCAGTAAATTGATCAAACCGAGTGAATTCATCTGGGATACGGATATCCCAGAGATGACCATTCCACAATATAAGTGAATCGCAAGGGCTGAAGTGTACAAGAGAATAAGGACTAGTCCGAGAAGAAGTGTCTGGGTCAGTAAATTTACGGGAAAGAGTGGAGGTCTCTACGTCATAGAGAAGAACATCTTTCGCTAATCCTTCAGAAGAGAGCGCGGCAAAATGTGTCCCAGAGTTGCTGAACTTTGCAGCCTTGCATCCATCAAAGGAGTATTTAGACCCAACAGTTATATTTGACGCATCCCACAATTGCACGTCACTGTAACTCGAAGAAAGCAACAGCTGAGTATCACCAGAGACGTACGACTGAACAAGTGTAACCGGAGCCTGGTGGCCTGAGACACTCTCAAGCAAGTTACAGCTGCCAGCTTCAAATATCTTGATTTCTCCAGCATGACTACCGACTGCTAAATGATTAATACCTCCAAGAAGTGAAATGCTTGTAAAGAGAGAATTCTCATCCCGGTAAGATCTCCAAGATTTGAATCTGCTGAAAACGAATTGACGGTCCCTGCGATTCCCATGGACTCCACTGTAGTAACTTTGAAGCTCACGGGTGCCAAGACGGTCAGTGATGTTTAGTGGAGCTTCAAGTAACCGTTTAGGTTCAGGACAGACATGCGGATGTAGGAGAGACACAGGAGGGAGAGTTGTGATTGGAGCCCGGCACTGCCTATGTTGGTGTTTCAAATACTGAACTACAAGAGAGTCAAGTGATAACCGTTCCGGAGGCTGGGGATCGCTTAGAAGCTTAAGCTGAGAAGCAGGTGTCATCTGGCATAGTCTTGAGGTCCCAGATTGGTTGATATCTAAAGCTGGAGCTGGTGTTTGGAAGCCTGGAGCATCTGCAATGGTTGAATTTCTACGCAAGGAAGCAGTTGTTGGACAAGCTGGAGTTCGTGGTCCTAGCTCGCCCAAATTGATTCTTTTACCTGAAACTGACAACTCCGGGTCTCTTAGCTCAGACAGTTTCCGTTTTCGCGTAAAAGTTGGGGTCTTAAACTGAGCATCCAAATCAAGGTCGTTCTTCGAAACTAACTCTGCAGCAGCTTCTGATGTACCAGCTTGTTTATTCTCTGCGTTTGACCTACTGTTTATTCTCTGTGTAGACTGAGGTTGAGTGTCCTGGGAGAAAGATTGCTTTCGTGATTGCGAACTAAAGCTGGGTGAGAAACTCAACTGTTTCTTCTTTGCGGATGCAGCTGCGTTACCTCTCGAAGTAGGATCTTCTTCATGAACATTGACTTTGGATTTGCTGGGGAAAAAACCACTGTTGGCACGGCCAGAGGGCCATTGTTGCTGTGCTACTGGCTTGGGCGTCTCATGTGTGGAGGAAGCCAGATGTTTCTTCTTGGCACATAGAGCCGCATTACATCTAGAGTTAGGATCTTCGTCATGTGTGCAGACTTCAGGTTTGCTGGTGAAGAATCCACCACTAGCACGACCAGAGGGCCATTGTTCCTGAGCTACCGGTGCAGACATCTCCTGCGAGGCGGAATATGCAATAGAAGAAGGGGGAGCCAAGGAAGACAGAGGATTTAACTGAGCCTCTTTCAACAGTGCTGAAGCAGTTTCACCAAGACCTGATGCCTGGAGGTGCTCATGGATAAGGAGTAAAAGCTCCTTCGAATCATATGTTATAGGTGTTGCTGCAGCAATGGCAGCTCTTTCAATGCGCCTCAGTGTTGGAGTAGCAGCATCACTGGCTGTTAGTGTATTCGCATGGCCTGAATTTGTCACTATCTGCAAAAACATATAAACCACAACTTAAAATGTTTGCACAACTTCAACAGAGAAATAAGGAATGAAATAAACTTTAGTTACTTATGAAGTACACAAAACAAATTCCATAGAGAAACATTAAACAAGAAAAATAAATCAGTTCAGATGGTAACTTACACCTATTAGCTCAAGGGCCACCTGCGTAAGTTCAGCCTGCCATCTGGCCTGATCTGTTCCACTTGACTGACCACCTGAATCCCGAATCAGTTCCGACAAACTCTTACCAACCTAAAAACCGTGCTTGGAAAATCAGTATGTATCCCAGAAAAGAAAAGAACGAAGATCACTGGGGAAAGAAACTTGCAATTCTACCTCAAGTTTAGTCAGTATTTGTGCAATTGTGTCATCTCTAGCCAGACCAAGAAGTACCCTGCAAGCCAACGCTCGTAGACAATCTGGGCTAGCAGGGGGGTTCACATATATTCTGGGCTGCAGAAGTTTTAAGAGAATTCTTATACCATCATTCCCACGAACAGCCTCACGTGCTTGACGATAAACCTGCTCCAACTTAGCAGCAAGGCCAGCAGAACCAGTTCCTGCTCCTAAGAAAATTCTTCGATCCCCGACCAAACCTGAAGACGCAGGTGCAGCAGGAGTTGGCGGAGCATTATCTGCAGCAACATCGGTTGAAGGACGGGCAGTGGCTTGGTCGGGAACAAGTTGATGATTTTGGGAAAGAGGCGGCTTGTTGCTTAATGATGGTGGTGGGCACACCAGATTGATTAGGACATTCAGTGCAGGCTGTATGATCTTCGATAACAAAGAAAATATCAAGGCAAGTATCAATAAGCAGAAGAAGAAAGACTAAACCCATGTGAATAATGAATAGAAGAGGACTGCTGACCTCAGGGTCCACTATGCTGTTGGAGATATTTGTTGCATCCAGAATGACAGCGATGCCAGCACGATTGTTGCTGAGTGTGGCACTCACAACTGCTTTGCGGCCATCAGGTATTGATGTAACTATGTGAAGAACACCAAAAGCATACTGAAGTAGATCATGGAGATAACGGTCTACTGGTGGAGTCTGCGCATGCGACTAAAATGTAAAAACATGGTACTATGGTAGACAAAAACAAGTAGTTAACGGTCTACTGGTAGAGAATAGCATGCTAAATTACCTGACATAGTTCCAACATGGTAACATGTCCAGAGGAGGCCAAAAAGTTATTGATAGCAGGCCACTGAGTTCTCACAAAGGTAGGACCCAACTTCCTATCCTTCTGTAACTGAAGGAATACGGCATCCACAGCTTCATTGCTGATGTCAAGGGGCTTATAGGCTGCCCTTATATTAGGAACTTTCGGCACACCACCTCGGCTACTTCTGCTGGGCCGAATGGAATCCACAAGCAAAAGGAGATGAGCTCTAAAATACTGGCGCAAAGCGAAACAGGTGTGAAAAGCCATCTGTTTCTCTGAGGACGTCATGACTTCAGGGGCTGATCGGTCAGAATTAGCACCAGTTCTAACTGAGGCTGCTTCTTTAAGAATCGCAAGGAGTTTCTGCAAACTATTATGAGCATCAAATGCGTCTAAAATGGCTCTAAAGACAAAAGCAGCAGCAAAGAATAAGGCTGAATTTTTTCTGGCTTGATCCTGGGAACAGTCTAGAAGTTCGATAGCTAGTTTAACCACTTGATGTATGAGATCCGATGGAAGTGCACAGACACGCTCCATTATACCCTGCGAAAACAATGAAGGTAAGAAGAAGCCGGATTCATACTAATACAAAGATAGTTCTGAGCAAAAATTGCAATGGCGTCGAACAACTTTGCTGTTATTATTACCTGAAGAGAGCCTATGGTGTATAAGCAAGATGAGAGACCATAAAAGGTCTCAGTAACCCTTGGAACAGCAAGTAATTTTTGCAAGCCACCACGGTCAACAAACATTGCAGCAAACTTCCGGTGCGCAGCCAAAGCGCAAATCAACTTCATGACATCAGGTAACAAAGGCGACAGTGTAGAGCTATCATCAAGTTGGGATGTACGTTCCAGTAGCGTAATGCATACATCAACACCTTTTTCATGGAGGACAGGCCCGAGAACCTCGACATATTCTCCCAGTATCTCAAGGCACTGTATGCAATATTTTTCTAGTAACTGAGCCAACGATTCAATATCTGGAAGCGAAACTTCTCCAACATCCAAAATTGCGTCTGTTTCCACTGTACTCGTATCCGCAGTTTGATCAGATGCAACACAAGTGGGATTTCTGCCACCAACCAAATAGAAGAGCTAAGGACCTAAGAGATAACTATAAGCTACCAGAATCGAAAAAACTCAGTAGAGTTAACGACATAATGTACAACAGCATAGCATGACTGACCTTGAAACCTCAGCGGCATCTATGACTGTAGAAGCTGCTCGAACAGCAGCAGACACGGCAGCTTCTTCACTGCCAGAGGACTTGAACTCCTGGAAATATTAAAAAGAAAGACGATCAATATAAATATCAGGTCACCTGTACCAGAGGTTCATTAAGGAAACTAAAATAAAAACATGCCTCCAAAGCAGCTGTTTTAACAAGCTCTGCAGCAGCATCACCGGCTGCTTTAACTGCTTCATCAGGAGCATTTGCAGCTCTAGCTTCGGCTTCAGCAGCTCCAACTGCTCTCATTACTAGATCAGTTATGTTTTTGGTACCTATCATGCAATCTTGAAAGCACTCATCATTCTTCTCTCTTTCAATCGCCATTATACCAGACTTCATATCTTCTGCATTTCTGACATCTAAATTTTTTGATAAATCCCTATCTCTGACACGCACACGACCTGATATAGGAGATGCCAAGAGAGCGTCCGTATCAGTAGCACCTTCGCTCACCTTTCCTCTCGCCCTAGATTTTGATCGGTTCAGTCTATTTCTTGAAGGGTCATCTCTCCAGGTATTGTCATCCCCAGGCTTCAATTTACTGTCAACAACAGGTGCAACATTACATCTTTCTCTACCATCAATTTCAGATTCTTCTTCAGTCAATAGATCAGATTGTCCCATCTCTCTACCAGAGTCTGCCTCAAGAACATGATCACCACCTTCAACTGTATCCACAACTCTCCTGACCCTACTTCGACCTTCTTCTTTTGTTTTTAAAGACACATGCTTATTAGTCTCAGTTGTATGAAGGGCATCTCTACGGCTTGTGCTTGCCTCTCCAAAAACACGAACTCGGAGATAATGCATAAGCTTAGCAGATAGTCCTGATGTCAATACGTCTTCAACTAATTGACCACGACTTGAGTCAGATAAAAAGAAAAAAATATTTAAAATTCAGATATAAGCACCACCAAAAATAACGCAAAAAATCGAAAAGAGAACAATGTCATTATATCCGTACCTCGCCAGAGAGTGAGCGAGAAGTCCAGTAGAATAAGTCTTCAACATCTCAGAATCTGAGGCCTCACTGCTACCAGAGTGTTCACCAGGAAACTTAACTGCCTCTTCCAAGACCCATTTTTTAAAGTTTTCAGTAACAGCATCATCGAAAACATAAGGATGCTGAACAAACAAAAAAAGAGTTGCCTCATGAACCAACCAACAAGCTAACACGTAACGGAGAGGAGCAAGAAGCTTAGATTAGTACCGTCCAAGTAACCAAATAATTGATTAGCAACCTAGCAGAGGCTGCCTTTACAGCTGTTGAATAATTATTCTCAGATAGAAAACTTGAGGAAATCAACTCAAAGAACTCATCATTCCCCTGTACAAAAAAAAACAAACAAATAAGAAGACAGAACAGAACTACACTAGTAGTTAAACCATTCTGTTAAAAAAAAAAGAAGACTTTACTTTGATTAATTTACACAACTTGCCACTGATATGACTACCACGACCATTAGAATAAAACCCATTCTCCTTTATAAACCTGAAGAAACAAATAAAGCGTCAAGCTTTAAAAAGCTATGAGTAAGCTAATCAAGAAAGGACATACAGAGACTCCTGAGATTCGAGGAGGTGGCTAAGAGCGTGGAGGACAGTAGGGTTTGGGTTATTAGCACCCGTTGTGATATGTTCCATGAGCTTCTGCGCCTTCTCTATAAGTCCGTCTTCTTTAGGGTTAGCTTCTCCTCCGCCGCCGCTTGAATTCTCCGTCTCCGTCTCCGCCGTGACAGGTAGTTGTTCGTCCTCGGCCGTGGGATTAGGGACCTCGGGTTCGTTACCTTGCTCGTCCATGTTAGCGTCTCTTTACAAGAGAGAAACACAGAAGCGGCGAACAATGGTAGGACGTAGGATTATAGGGGAAAAGAGAAAAAACAAATATTAGTTTTGGAGCGTGGCGGAGGAGGTGGTAGAAGAAGGCGACAGAGGTGAACCGACTGTAATACTAAAATATAACCCGACCCGTTTTCTCATGAGATAAACCCTAGCCCGTATTTCAATTAATGGGCCTAAATGAGGCCCACACTTTTAATACTGCATGTAGCTTGTTTGTTCTGGTTTGCTTGTTTTTTCGGTTTGGTTTACTTTGGTTTTTTAAAATGTCTTGTCTTTTTATATAGATTCATAAGAAAACAAGTATTTGTTCAAAAAAAAAAGAAAACGAAAACAAGTATTTACAAATTCTACTAGGTTTAAGTATTTACTAGATTTTTTAATTATTGATTCCACTTGGATAACAAAATTTGCAACCTATCGTTATCCAATTCTTTTTTGGATCTAATTAGTTTTAGTCTTTCAGATAATCCGAATAAGAAAATTAGACAATTTTAAATTTTTTTAAAAAATATCGAATCAAATATAACATTGGTTAATTGAAATGATTTTAGATATTGATACAAACCATATTTTAGATTTTTGAGCATATATATATATATTTTTTTTTTTTTGAACACATATATATATATATATATATTTTTTTTTTTTTGGAACACGAACACATATATATATTTTTAGCTTTTGGTACATAAAAGATGTAGAAATTCAAACATCGGTTTGGTTTTAGTCCGGGTTTTTTTTGTTGGGTTTGGACTTGACAAGTAGTAGTAACCTGTGCGTGGGTCTTCTCCGGCATAAAACATTGCCGGAAATGGACGGAGAAGGAGCTTTAGGCGAGTCTTCTTCTTCAATTCCGTTAGAGAATTGGACAGAGTAGGTGATACTTTAGACTTCACTTAGATTCAGATGCAATCAGATATTTCAAAGATTGGTTTGACTTCTTTGCAGAGAACAGGATCAGCTAAAGAAGAAACTGATCACTCACGATGACTTCCCATGGAAGTTACCTTCATCCACAGAACTTCCTCATGGATCAGAGACCCTTAAGTACGTTGGAGGTGTGGACATAAGCTTCTCCAAGGACGATTCCTCAGTGGCGTGTGCTTGTCTCGTCGTTCTTGAGCTGCCTTCTCTCCGTGTAGTTCATAATGACCTCTCTCTAATCCGCCTCAGTGTTCCTTACGTCCCTGGTTTTCTCGCCTTTCGTGAGGTTCTAGTCTTCGGTTTCATTTGCTTTATTAATTAAGTGTCTTAGATTGAAAGATTGGATTTTTGTTGTGTTACAGGCTCCGGTTCTGTTGCAGATTCTTGAGAAGATGAGGGATGATCATCATCCTTTCTATCCTCAGGTTTTGTGTTTTGTGTCTTTTTGTGGTTTTGGGTTGTCTTTAGTGTTTGTTTTGTTTGTGAAAGTCTCTCTCTTTGCTCTTTGTAAGGTGCTGATGGTTGATGGGAATGGGATACTTCATCCACGAGGTATAATTCATGGTTTTGGATTCATCTCAAGCTCTGTAATTCATGGTTTTGGATGTAAATTTGTGTTCTAGGTTTTGGCTTGGCGTGTCATTTAGGTGTTCTTGCTCACATTCCTACCATTGGGGTCGGAAAGAATGTACCATCTCACCTTGACACCTTTTCTGCTTCTATATATATCATATTACGCTAATCAGTTTTTGGACGGTTTGTAGCTGCATCATGTGGATGGTCTGGATCATTCTGAGGTGAGACGGTCATTTCAGCTCAAAGAAAATGAGGATGAGCAGGTTATGAAGTTGGTTGGGACCTCTGGTTTTACGTGGGGAGTAGTAAGTTACTTTGCTTTGAACATTTTGTCAATAACCGGCCGTCTCTCTTTGGTAATTACAAATTATTTTCAACAGGGGTTTAGGCCAGCTCTGAGTTCTTTGAAGCCCATATACGTTTCAGTTGGCCATCGCATATCACTTGACTCTGCGGTTGAGGTTGTCAAGATGACCTGCAAGTACCGTGTTCCGGAACCTATTAGACAGGTACAATGCTGTACTTTGATATTTTGCCACATAGTTTTTCTTTAGATCATACTGGAAAGTGGAAAGTATATATTGACTCTTTGTAGGCGGATATGAGATCAAGAGCATATCTTCAAAAGCATCAACTTGGACTTTTAAAAGATTTGAGACCACTCGGAATGGGTAACTTCTTGATGTTTCCTTCACTCTTGTAAATCTTGTATCACACCGGAATCACTGCACACAGTAGTTCACATATCCATTTTCTTCTTTTCCTTTTGTCTAACAGACTGAACATGAGTCATTAAAACAACCTAAGAAGGCTGTGTACACTTTTCCACATTAAAGATCATTCTGCAATGTCTTTACAGAGGACATCTACACCAAGTTTTCCTTTATTTATCTCACTTACTCTAACCAAGATAACTATAAACGGACGGTCATGTTGTATTTTGGTTTGTATTGAATGTATTGGTATCTTGATTGTTTGGGAACTTGTGGGGTTCTCTAAGTTTAATAGGTTTGGTATTTTACTTGGTTCAGCGTCTGTAACTTGTCTCTCATACTGTAATAGAGCAGAATCGTTTCTCATTCTTAACGAAATGTTTGACAGATTCCTAGTAGTGAAGCCTAGTGGACTTCTCTTTTCCAGCAAGCCTGCTTAACTCATTAGGTCGAGCTTTGGTTAGTCCAAACAAGAGGAGCAAAGTAGACACTGTGAACACAGCTAGCGAGAAGTAAGAGATCAAACAGGTATGTAATACATAATCTCAATTCTCAATAAGCTGGCTAATGTGTTATATCCACCAGAGGAAGAAAAAGAATTGTGACCAATAGGTTGTAAGTTATACGTTAATGTGGTTCATTTATGATCGATTTACATGGGAGAAGTTGTAAAGATCGATTTACATTTAGAAGACTTATCATATTAATTTAGGATCAACTTACATGGGAGAAGTTGTAAAGATCGATTTGAATTAATCTCTTGCACTAAAAACCATGCACATAACTTTCAGACTTCTTCTTCTTGAAACACCAAACGTCACCGCAAGCCTCTCGTAATATATATAAGTGTCTATCACCAAACAAAGATCTCATCAAACCAAGAAGTTATTTTTTGGCAAAGTCTATCTCCTACTTTATCTCTGCATCTTTTATAACTAAAGCGAAATGGGAGGCAGTATGATGTCCGAAGTGTTTGAAAACAATATCGATACCAGGATGTCTTCTCTTGCAATTGCCAACACAAGTCCCCACCACAATGCTCCAACTCAAGCGCCGATAATATCTTCCTACAATGACTACATCAGGCCGTTGCTTGACACTGTGGACAGGCTGAGGAACCTGAATGTGATGAAAGAAGGGATCCAGCTTCCAACTATTGTTGTGGTTGGAGATCAATCCTCTGGAAAGTCCAGTGTTCTCGAGTCCCTGGCAGGAATCAGTTTGCCTCGTGGGTATGAAATATGCACAAGGGTTCCTCTTGTGATGAGGCTTCAGCGCAGTTCTAGCCCCGAACCTGAGATCTGGCTCAAGTACGGTGGCAACTCTGTTCCTACTTATGAAGAACACATCACTGAAGCTATATGCACAGCAACTGAGGCCATTGCTGGTAAGTTCAGTTCCAACGTATATTACAAACATGTAAGACAGATTCTTAGAATGAGACTGCTCTTTCTTAAGCTAGCAACTAAAACTAAATGTGTATATTTAATATTACATCATCGTATATATGTTATGTTACCCCCAGTGTGTGATTAATGATTAAAATTGTAAATAATACTCATTTTGCAGGATCTGAGAGTGGTGTTTCAGACACTCCTATTGAGCTCCATGTAAGAAGGAATAATGTTCCTGATCTGACAATGGTTGATCTCCCTGGGATAACACGGAATCCCGTCAACGGACAGCCTGAAGACATCTATGAACAAGTATCAGCCATAATCAAGAAATACATCGAGCCACAGGAATCAATTATTCTCAACGTTCTGGCAGCTACAGGCGACTTCTCAACTTGTGAGTCCATACGTATGTCTAAGCAAGTTGACAAGAAAGGGGAAAGGACTCTGGCCGTTGTAACAAAAGCCGACGTGCAGCCTCAAGGGCTCCTGGAGAAAGTTACTGCAGACGACGTGAACATCGGACTCGGTTACGTCTGTGTCAGAAACCGTGTTGGTGACGAGACCTATCAAGAAGCGCGAGAGCAAGAAGAGTCGCTTTTCAAGAAACATCCACTGCTCTCCAAGATTGATCAAGACATCGTTGGGATCCCTGTTTTAGCTAAAAAGCTCGTTGAAATCCAAGCGACAATGATCTCCCGTTGTTTGCCAGACATTGTAATGAAAATTGATCAGAAGCTGGACAAAAGCATCATCGAGTTGAGTAAGCTACCAGAGGTGATAACTTGTGAGAGGGAAGCTTGGATGACCTTCACGGACATCATCCGTTGATTCCGTTCCGTTAAGTCTCTTCTCAAGTTTCTAATCATCCAAGGAGACTTCTCCGAGTATCCAGATGATCTCAACATGCATTGCTCTGCTCGTTTGGCTGATATGTTAATCAAATTCTCAACTGATCTACAAGCTCAGTTTTTTGTCGGGGGTCCCGAGTTCTTGATGGATGAAATTAAGGTTCTTGAAGAGTGTAAATGTATAGGATTGCCTAATTTCATCCCAAGATCAGCCTTCGCAGCTATACTTTCAAAATGTGTTGATGCAATACATGCTAAGCCGGTAGAGTTCATGAGAGAGGTATGGGACTACGTGGAAGCTGTGCTCTTATCTGTCATCACCAAATACTCTGAAAACTTCCCTCAGATTCAGCCTTCCATCCAACGAGCTTGTAGGAGACTAATCTCTAAGATCAAAGAACAGTCAGTGACTAGAGTGATCGAAATGGTGGAGATAGACAAAATGACGGATTACACATGTAACCCTGAGTACACGACGGTGTGCACGCAGATGGTAGCTGCACAAGGAAGCTTCGTCAACGCTGTGACCTCATCAAACATTCTTTGCTTTACCTGGGTTTGGAAATGTTGTGATTACGCATTTAAGGAAGTATCCCGCTCAGTTGCTGCATCAAGCGTTTGACATGAAGATGAGGATCACAGCCTACTGGACCATCGTGGTACGAAGGATTGTTGATAGCGTTGCACTTTACCTTCAGTTCACTGTGAAGAATCTTGTCAACACTCAGTTTCAGAAGGAGATTGTTGGGGAATTGGGTGGAGGTGAGGTTGAGAAGATGCTTATCGATGAGTCTCCATCGGTGGCGAGTATATAGGTGTCAATTGGGCGGGCTGACCATGGGCTTGCCCAGTCCAATTCATTATGGGCGGGCTATGGACACACCCAACTAATAAATGGTCCAATTGGACAAAAGACCAATGGGTATATGGTCCAATTGGGTAAAGACCAAATGGACAATGGGTGTCCATGGACTATCTAAAAATATATTTTCATAATTTTAACAAGAAAGCAGTTTTAAATTTTTAATTTTAAATGTAATTTCTCAATTTTGGCGGGAAAGACGTATTTTTTTGTTTTTTTTTGCGGAAAAACATAATTTTTAGGTTTTGGCGAAAAACGCAAATTCTCGGTTTTGGCAAAAACGGTAATTTCTCAGTTTTGGCGGAAAAACGCAATTTCTCAGTTTTGGCAAAAACGAAATTTCTCAGTTTTGGTAAAAAAACGCAATTTCTCGG